CAAACTTGCCTCAACACACCTGCCTTCAAGTTTCTAGTATGCCTATTAAGAGCTTGATTAGCTGGTTCAGGTGTGTTTAATTGAGGTTGGAGCTAAACTCTTCAGGACACCGGCCCTCTAGGACCGAGTTTGGGCACCCCTGATCTACGCTCACACTATTTGACTGTCCTCAACTCCTAACGACGATGAAGAACTAGGGCTGGGCGATTTGTCCGATTTTAGCGATTAATTGGGTTGGCTTGAGAAAGCCCAACCTACTGATCTGCTACTTAAGCTTTTCATTCTTCTTCTTAGACTAAATTTCTGAACGCTACTCCTCCTAGAGCTTTCCAGCTAGAACCACCAAACTCAGCCCTGCTCTTCAGACTGATCTGACTTGGTGTGCTATATCTTTTCAGACTGATCCAACTTATGAGATTTAAATTTTTTGCCATATCGCCCAGCCCTATGATGAACATTTGTGTGTGTACAGTACGTAGTGTGTGTGTGTGTACAGTACGTAGTGTGTGTGTGTGTGTGTGTGTGTGTACAGTACGTAGTGTGCGTGTGTGTACAGTACATTTTGTGTGTGTGTACTGTGTGTGTGTGTGTGTGTGTGTATGTGTGTGTGTATGTGTTTTTTTGTGTGTGTGTGTGTGTGCAGTACGTTTTGTGTGTGTGTGTGTGTGTGTGTACAGTACGTTTTGTGCGTGTGTGTGTGTACTGATATATATGGTTTATGAGGACACAAATGTGTATAATGACATGGGTACTACAACGTAAACATGGTTTATGAAGACACTTCCTGTGTCCCCGTAAAACAAAAGGATTAAAAAAACATACAAAATGGTGTTTTATTAAATAAAAAAATTGCCAGTAGTTTCCTGTAAGGTGTAGGGCGATAGAAAATAGAGTTTGTACAGTATTAAAACCATTACGCTTATGGAATGTCCCTGTAAACCACAAATGCAAATATATGTGTGTGTGTATGTTTTCCAGGTGTGTGGATACGACACATCGGCTCTCAGCGCCGGTCCTCTCTTCAGAGTGCCTGTAACGGTTATAATCCCTGCGAGGTACGTCCGACCGCTCTGTTCCGCTCGCATCTGTGTTTCTGCTCGCCTGTCATGTGTGTTTGTCTCTTATAGAGTAGCTGACAGTCGCAGTCAGGAGATCACGTTCCCAGACCTCCACTTCAGGCCAGGACAGATCCGGCGGCATTTCATTACCGTCCCTCGTGGAGCATCATGGGCAGGTGATGTGATGCTGCATCACTGCAGGATTCTCCCAAACATTGATCTGTGATCTAACTATTCAGTCTCTTTCAGAGATCTCGTTAACGTCTCATTCTGGAGACGTGTCGTCGAAGTTCGTCCTGCATGCTGTTCATCTGGTGAAGCAGCGAGCGTATCGAGTCAATGAGTTTTATAAGTTCTCGTCTCTCCTGGAGAAGGGCTCGCTCACGGAGGCTTTTCCTGTGCTGGTACACAATACGCAAACTATTAGGGCTGCCCACTAATAGCTGACTAACTGTTATTCGACGAGAAAAAATGTTTTAAAGATATTTTGTAAATGTCCTACCGTAAATATATCAAAACTTAATTTTTTATTAGTAATATACATTGCTAAGAACTTCATTTGGACAACTTTAAAGATGATTTTCTCAATATTTTGATTTTTTTTGCACCCTCAGATTCCAGATTTTCAAATAGTTGCTTTTCAAGTAGTCAGCTTTCAGAGATTATGCATAAATCTCAGTTTCAGAAAAATGGACCTTTATGATTGGTTTTGTGCTCCAGGGTCATATATATACGTCTTATCATCTGAAATATGTTAGTAGCAGCAACTTTACACGGTCGCTTAATCTAATATAAACCTAGAAACTTGACTTGACTTAAAATACTCAGTCATTTTTGGTCATACAGATGAGAGTAATACATCTTTCGAATCTGTAAAGACTCTACGTTTATTTGTGGCCACTCAAAATAACAACAAAAATTGTGCTTTTGTAAAATAATGAAAGCAAACAGGATTTGCTTTCTGCCGTCTCGGTCTCTGTGAACATGAGCGTGTAAACTTACGTTACAGACATGAAAAATATATTTATTGAGGCGTTTGAGCGCTGATAGGCTGTAGGCAATTAAAGGCTCATTTTTAGGAATTACATGGTTTATTAATAAACGTGAGATTAGTCGACTGATTGCTTAAAAATGAACGACTACTAGTCGACCAGGGGTGCGTTTCCCAAAAGCATCGTTAGCTAACTATGGTCGTTAGTTCCAGTGAACTCTATTGGTAACGACGGAACTTGCGACCATCGTTCCTTTTGGGAAACGCACCATAGTCGAGGGCAGCCCTACAAACTATAACACATATTTTTTCATATATGGTTTGTCTGTCTGTCGGGTCACATGTTCATCTGTGTGGCTTTCTCAGCCAGGACGCACTCTGGAGCTCTGTGTTGCTCGCTGGTGGGCGAGTCTGGGTGACGTCACCGTTGATTATGTCATTTCCTTCCATGGGCTGGTGACGGCGCCTTCTCCTATTCATATCGTGAGTATCTTTAGGATTTAATGGCAGAAGCAGAAAGAAAATAATACTTTTATTCATCAAGGATGCATTAAATTGATCAGAAGTGACGGTAAAGACATTTATAATGTCACAAAATATTTCTATTTCAAATAAATGCTGTTCTTTTGAACTTTCTGTTCATCTGTGAATCCCGAAAAATAAAATGCATCACAGTTTCCACAAAAATATTGTGCAGCACGACTGTTTTCAGCATTGATAATAATCAGAAATGTTTCTCGAGCAGCAGATCAGCATATTATACTGATTTCTGAAGATCATGTGACACTGAAGACTGGAATAATGATGCTGAAAATACAGCTGCGCATCACAGAAATACATTACAGTTTAACACATATTCACATAGAAAACAGCTGTTTTACATTCTAATAATATTTCACAATTTTTACTGCATTTTTGATCAAATAATTGCAGCCTCGGTGAGCAGAAGAGACTTCTTACCAACCCCAAATTGTAAATTCTCTCTGTCAGTTAGCTTTATTGTTTTACCTTTAGCAGCACACGCCAAATTAATTAATGACTCTTGTTTCGTGTGTTTCTGTGTCTAGCACGCCTCTGAAGGGATTTCTAGTTTTCAGGTTTGTTCTCCGCTGAGATATGAAGACGTTTCCCCAACAATCACACTGAAGAACTGGGTTCAGCCTCTCCGGTAAACACACACACCTCACAGATCACCAGTTAATAATGCATCCTAAAGCTATTTTAAGCATCATATCGTCCTGATCTAGTGTATATACTCGCGTTTACTGTCGGAAGGATGTTCAGTGAAGCCCATAAATACAGTTTAAGTGGGGACTGGGTTGTAGGATATGACTCTTTGATCATAAAGCAGCTTCAGAAGATGAGGAGCTCCCAGAGGAACGCAAGGGCAAGTGTTCATGAAATATGCACGATTAATGTGTGCGTTTCTCCTTGACAGGCCTGTAAGTGCTAAAATAAAACCCCTCGGCGCCAGAGATGTGTTACCCAACAACAGACAGCTCTATGAGATCGTCCTCACTTATAATTTCCATCAGGTGAGTGTGACGATAACTACGTCTTTGCAGTTTTTATTAATGAATTGTTTGTTTACAGTGTTTGCATGGTTGATATGTGACCCTGCAGCACAAAAGCAGTGTTAAGTCGCTGGGGGATATTTGTAGCAATAGCCAACAATACATTGTATGGGTCACAATTATACATTTCTCTTTTATGACAAAAATCATTAGGATATTAAGTAAAGATCATGTTCCATGAAGATATTTAGTAAATGTCCTACCGTAAATATATCAAAACTTAATGTTTGATTAGTAATATGCATTGCTAAGAACTTCATTTGAACAACTTTAAAGATGATTTTCTCAATATTTCGATTTTTTTGCACCCTCAGATTCCAGATTTTCAAATATTGTTCTATCCTAACAAACCATACATCAATGGAAAGCTATTTATTCAACTTTCAGATGATGCATACATCTCAATTTCAAAAAATGGACCCTTATGACTGGTTTTGTGCTTCAGGGTCACATTTATTGATTCTTATTGAGTTATTGGTGTTGTTTTTCCAGCCCAAGAGTGGCGAGGTGACGCCTAGCTGTCCGCTGCTGTGTGAGTTATTATACGAGTCTGAGTTTGACAGTCAGCTCTGGCTCCTGTTTGACCAGAACAAGAGGCTCATGGGATCTGGAGACGCTTATCCACACCAGGTGAGCAGAAAATAAGCTTCACATGATCACATGATGCAAACCTGCTAAACTCTATTTATTTATTTTACGCATTTAGCCTATTCTAAATGTTATTAGACTACTGTTTTTCATACAAATACCTAAAAACCATAGAGTTATATTTTTACCATGGTATGCTATATGTGTGGTCTTAACTGTGTTTATCATGATTTAAATGTATGCTACTATGGACCAATGATTTAAAAAAAAAAAATCACTATATAAAAATGAGGTTGCTACAATTTTTACAGATGTTACTGATTTTGATAATGAACCAAAATTCACATCTGCATCCTAATTAAAGCTACTACTACTCCTATCAAATGTGCATTTCTTAGAGACAAAAAAAGTAATATTATTATTAATATTATCAGGCAGCAACACAAACCTGTTTCTTGATTTGAAACAACGTCACATGCAGAAACGAAGATATTTATTATTTTAAGGAAAATTAACAAATGGTCTGGTTTCTACAACTTTCGCTTTGGAGCAAAAAGTTGGCCTTAAACTTGAAAGAAATAAAGATTTGACATTTATCGTGATAATTATCGGTATGGACTGATAGGGAAAAAAATTATCGTGATATACTACATACTAAGAAATACTAATGCCACATTAAACCTAAAGAAAGAAATGTTATAAGTAAATATAAATTTAAACCATTTTGTGATGGAGCCTCCGGTTTCAAAAATAGCTTTTATTTAACATTTCCAACATTCAACACAATTTAAGCTAATTTGGGCTGCACAATTTCACCAAAAAGTCTAATTGCAAGTATTTGGTCATGTATTGTAATTGCAATTCAAACTTACTCATTTATTTATTTATTTGTTACAAATTAAGACTGCAAAAATGTTAACATTTGAAATGGTAGGCCAAATTTTGATATTTAATAATAATAATAATAATAATAAATAACATGCTGTAACCCAAGGTTCCTAAACCTCAGGGCTTTATGATAGGATTTCAGATTGTGATGTAAATACTAATGCCAAATTAAAAATTATAATCAAACATAATTAATCAAATTAAACCATTCTGTGATTGAGCCTTTTCCAGTCAGAAAAATAACTTTTGACATTTCTGACATATAACAAAATACACATTAATTTGGGATGCACGATTTTCACACACACAAAAAAAAAAAGTAAAGTAATTGCAATCGTTTTGTCATATTCTGTGCAGTTTGAATTTTTTTTTTTTAATTGTTGTTGTTATATATTAGTGTGAACTGTTACAAATTAAGACAGCAGATATTGCCATTGTACTGGGATGTAAGAAAGGAAAAAAACAATTTTAAATAAAAATAAATAATAAAATAAATAAAATAAAACAAAACAAAAAAAACCAGGGTTCCCTGGGATTTCAGGTTGTAAAAAAAAATACTAATGCTAAATTCAACATGAAGAAAAAAATAACTAAGAATTAGGGCTGGGCGATATGGCAAAAAATTAAAATCTCGATTTTCTCAGAACGTTTGACCAATTTTTACGATTTCTAACTAGTCAACTTGAAAATGTGACTACAGCATGATTCAAGTAACTTCTTTATTAACCCTCTAGTTAAAGAAAATCATGTCAACATGATGGAGATGTTAAACAAATCACTTGTTAAATGTCTTTGCAGAAAATCCATGCATGAACTACAACTACTTCTTGTACAAACTTATATGTTCAGAAATAATACGAGGAAAATCCTTCAAAAAAATGACTGTATACCTTCAAAATGACTGAAGGTATAACAACAGTAGACTATTATTAGCTTTAAATGTTACAGCTTTAGCATCCTGTCACCATGATGCAAACATGAAATATCAGACATACAGTAGTAGTTCTTTACAGGTTTTTTTATTCGATTGCGCTGCTTTTCCCTTGTTTTCTCTATGTAAACATGGACTGTTTGACTGTTGCATGCATGCACTTTCTCATCCTGTTTTAATTATGTGCGAAACAAGCAGGTGTTGTGCGATTCATGAGGTTGGGTTGCAGTATTTATTTGAGATGTGGTGTCTCTGTGGCAGTACTCTCTGAAGCTGGAGAAGGGCGACTACGCTGTGCGTCTGCAGGTGCGTCACGAGCAGCAGAGCGAGCTGGAGCGTCTGAAGGACCTGCCGTTCCTCGTGTCTCACCGGCTCTCCAACACGCTCTCGCTGGACGTCTACGAGACGCACCGCGCTGCCATGCTGGCCAAGAAGAAGGCCAACTCCATCACACTGAGCCCCGGCGCGTCGCAGCCCTTCTACATCACAGCCCTGCCCGACGACAAGTGAGTGTCCCTACAGACCAGTGCTGGGGCAAGTTACTTTTAAAGGACACATATTATGCCCCTTTTTACAATATGTAATATAAGTCTCTGGTGTCCCGAGAATGTGTCTGTGAAGTTTCAGCTCCACAGATAATTTATTATATCATTTTGAAAATGCCTATTTTGAGTGGAAGCAGAAACACGCTGTTTTGCGAGCCTGTCTCTTTAAATGCAAATGAGCTGATGCTCCCCGCCCCCTTTTCCAGAATAGAGCTGCGCCATTACAGCTCGTACCTGCTAAAAACATCTGTTTTGGTTCTGATTATCATGTTTATCAGCTGAAATCATGCATTTTAAACCATATGAGTTTAAACTTCTGATATAGGGTTTTCTGAGCGCACACATCTGAAGCACACGCACAGAAAGCGGCTGTCGCAGCATGTGAGCACTAAACTAAGTTCTCATTCACACACAAGCTTAGCTTAAAAACACACAAGTTACAAAAACAGTGGGTTATGTCTGTGAAGGTAAACTCCTGAATCACATGTTTATTTTAGATCTGTGTGGCAGCAGCAATATACAGTAAATAAATCAATAAATCACTGCTCTGTCGTCTCCTCTGAGGCTGGGACTCTAAACAGTGTTCAGTGCTCGTCTCTGCAGCCAAACACAGAACAGCTAGCATGCTTCGCTCAAACATTCTCCATGGCATTAGAACTAATACACCGCTGTCACTTGCGAAAACACAATAACGGCGCCGTGGGTGAAAACTTACAGATTAAGGGGCGGTGATATTATAATGAGATCCCTTTGCCACGTCACCAAGCGAGCGAAATCAGACGCTCTCGTTTTCTCAGACGCTTGCAGAAAAAAGGCTTCCCAAAACAAAGTTACCGAGTTAATCTTTTTCACGATTCCTTGGTTGGTAGATGCACCAGGGACTTGATTATAGCACTTAACACCTGGAAAAGTCATTTTTTCATGATATGTCACCTTTAAAAGTAATGCAGTACAATACTGTGTTACTCCCTTAAAAAAAGTAACTAATTGCATTGCTTAGTTACTTTTTATGGAAAGTAATGCTTTACGTTACTTTTGAGTTACTTTTTAAATCTGGGCAGGGTTTGCTTGTTTGTTTTTAATATAAAAAGTTATTTTACAACAAAAGTGAAGTGAATGCGCCTCAGGCTGAAAAAAAATGTAAATTCTCGTCTGTACAGTAGAGGGCGCCGCTCAAACTAATCACATGAAGAATATGACGCAGGAGAAGAAAGTTCAGCACTATTCAGCAATAACTAAAATAAAACACAAATGTGTCAATTTAGCTTATTAGTATGATTGAACTGGATCATCGAAGGTCAGAAGCAAAGACATTGGTTAATAAAATGGGATTAAATACATAAATTATATTTGTCTTTTTTAACATTTAATAATTGCAGGATTGTATAATATTCTGAGTTTGCATTTGACAGTATTTATTGATTGTGAGGAGCACTGAATGTGTTTGTGTGCAGTGAGATGAGTAAACACATGTTGATATTGAGTCTAGAACTACAGTAAGATCATGTTCACACACAACACTCTGCACTGACTCCTGATTTCTGTCACCATGGCAACACCAGAGCTGTCACTCAACACATGGAAACAAAGTAACTGCTGTTACTTATTTGAAAAAGTAACTCCGATATTTCCTTCTAAATTAAAAGTAATGTTACTTTACTAGTTACTTAAAAAAGTAATCTGATTACGTAAATCACGTTATCAGAATATTTAAAGCTGTTTTCGAGCAGCGCTCTTAGTGTAAGCTTTATGTTTGAAGCAGCTTCACAAACAGGCTACATTTCTGTGTTGTAAACATTAAGTAATAACAAAACTATTGGGATAAAGGTTTATAGTCCAGATATAGACTCTGACGTTGCGGCAGTCGAGATCAAAACGAGTAATTGACCTTTGGAACTAATGTTACGCTTCAAATAAAGATTGCATATTATTTTGTTGTCTAATGTTTTGTTTTCAGATTCGTGGGAGAACCGTGATCTCAATTCTAAAAATCAATTATCCAGACTCATACCTTAAAACACCTGCCGTCTAACTAATACTATTAGTACTGTTTCTGATGTTAAAATGTAGTTCTGCAGAAAACCCTTCCTTTGGTTCGTGCCGCGGTCCATGCGTCCAGCCGCCGCTGCTGTTGAGCCGTGAGCTGTCAGAAGATGCAGATGTTTGTCTTTGTGTTTCAGGATCCCTAAAGGTGCCGGACCCGGCGGCTACATCACCGGCTCGCTGGTTCTGCCCAAGAGTGAGTTCGGCAATCTCGTCTGTACAGTAGAGGGCGCCGCTCAAACTAATCACATGAAGAATATGACGCAGGAGAAGAAAGTTCAGCACTATTCAGCAATAACTAAAATAAAACACAAATGTGTCAATTTAGCTTATTAGTATGATTGAACTGGATCATCGAAGGTCAGAAGCAAAGACATTGGTTAATAAAATGGGATTAAATACATAAATTATATTTGTCTTTTTTTAACATTTAATAATTGCAGGATTGTATAATATTCTGAGTTTGCATTTGACAGTATTTATTGATTGTGAGGAGCACTGAATGTGTTTGTGTGCAGTGAGATGAGTAAACACATGTTGATATTGAGTCTAGAACTACAGTAAGATCATGTTCACACACAACACTCTGCACTGACTCCTGATTTCTGTCACCATGGCAACACCAGAGCTGTCACTCAACACATGGAAACAAAGTAACTGCTGTTACTTATTTGAAAAAGTAACTCCGATATTTCCTTCTAAATTAAAAGTAATGTTACTTTACTAGTTACTTAAAAAAGTAATCTGATTACGTAAATCACGTTATCAGAATATTTAAAGCTGTTTTCGAGCAGCGCTCTTAGTGTAAGCTTTATGTTTGAAGCAGCTTCACAAACAGGCTACATTTCTGTGTTGTAAACATTAAGTAATAACAAAACTATTGGGATAAAGGTTTATAGTCCAGATATAGACTCTGACGTTGCGGCAGTCGAGATCAAAACGAGTAATTGACCTTTGGAACTAATGTTACGCTTCAAATAAAGATTGCATATTATTTTGTTGTCTAATGTTTTGTTTTCAGATTCGTGGGAGAACCGTGATCTCAATTCTAAAAATCAATTATCCAGAGTCATACCTTAAAACACCTGCCGTCTAACTAATACTATTAGTACTGTTTCTGATGTTAAAATGTAGTTCTGCAGAAAACCCTTCCTTTGGTTCGTGCCGCGGTCCATGCGTCCAGCCGCCGCTGCTGTTGAGCCGTGAGCTGTCAGAAGATGCAGATGTTTGTCTTTGTGTTTCAGGATCCCTAAAGGTGCCGGACCCGGCGGCTACATCACCGGCTCGCTGGTTCTGCCCAAGAGTGAGTTCGGCAAAAAAGCTGTGAGTCGCCAGTCTCTTCAAACACAGGGTTGATTCAGCTCATCTGTAGGTCTGCATGC